ATCAGACTATATGAGCCAGTCTGAAAAAAACCTGAAGTATCATATGTAAAACATAAAGCATATGATTTTATTATTATTTTGACCAAAGGTTCAATAAACTGAATTCTCTGACTATTATTTCATATGTCAGGCTTTACAGGGTTAAAGTCACCATGAAATCAAAATGGAATGAGTTGAATGAGCTGAAGTTGATTTCTCTAGTTTCATACTCTAGTTTTGAGCCTCAAAAAGCTACAAGGTTCAGAGAGGTTTGACAAGGCAGGATTCAACAAGAATTCAAAACATAGCAATCAACATCAGAAAAGAAAAGAAAAAGATTTTGCAGTGATTTAAATACGCATTTCTCAAAGTAGTATATGCATTAGAGCAAACATAATTCAAGCACACTAAACGTCCGCGGGCGGTTTGTAGGAGATCATTCGGTGAGCTGTACGTGACTCATGATTGAAGCATCAATGTTGGACCGCTTGTGTAATGAACTGATGGCTAATGTGCTCTTCTCTTGTCGTTTTGATTCCTGGCATCATTGTGTAACCTTTTATGTGTTCATTTTTAGGTTATGTGATCTAGTGTTGTTTAGATGAACTCTAGGATGGAGATATGGAGGTCAGATTACATGCTAACCTTTGCAAAACCAGCACATGGTGCCAAATCAGAGCTTGTCTCTTCTCATCTGTTCTTTATTTATTTTAATTTATGCATTTAGCAGACGCTTTTATCCAAAGCGACTTACAGTGCATTCAGGCTATACATTTTTTACCAGTATGTATTATTATTATTTATTTGCCTTTTTGTTTCTTGGCTAGTTACAGACCATCTATATACTCTTACATTGTTCTAATATGACCAGTTTCATGTACAAATTTAACTAATTCGATTATGTATTTTTTGTAGTAGACCTTTAATATCCCATTTCCTTCCAGTTGTGATAATACATTCTTAAAGTTATTTTTCTTCCATAAATTTCCTGCAATTTAAGTCAAGTCAAACTTTATTTATATAGCACAATCATGCTTTTTGTTTACATTTACATATGGTATTTATCTGTATTTGACTTATGATAAATAATGTAGGCTATTGTTTAGTCTTGTACCGATGATCTCTTCTGTTTCTACTTTAGTGGTGATTTGATGTTCCACGTCGTTCCTTCCTGTTTGCTCAGCGAATGCAAATAACGCTGCTGTACTGACATTTGCAACTAAAAAGCGGTGGGTTCACAGCAGCTCAACGCTCGTCGTCCTGCAGATGTAATGCGACACCGCTGACCGGCGCGCGGATTAATTCGGAACAGAACGCGCGCGAGAATCAGATGTAATGGATTTGATTCTCTCTTCCTCCAGGCAATTTTCTGTGCTGGTGGAAAATGAGAGCGAAATGGATCTTTCTCAACTCAGTATGCTGGAACGTGTTTAACGCTTTGTTGATGTCCATCAAAGTCTCATCACAAGTCTCCTTTGCATAACTTATATTTCATATTGTAAATATTTACTTATCATTAGATATATCATCCTTTGAACATTCCCTTCTACGTTCCATTTGAAGCATGCAATGTCTATGTTAAGGCAAAATTGATTGATAAATTGATTTTTAAATACCGCGAAACTGTACGGTTTTCGGTTTCAATTAGTGATTTTAAGTATTAGCCTACACTGTAAAAAGAATTCTGTAGTTTTTAATTAATAATTTTGGCAGCTGTGGTTGCCAGAATGATTTGTTATTTTTACTTCTAAAAACTGTAAAATTAACAGCATTTTACTGTAAAATATTTTACAGTTTTTCCCTGTATATAGTACGGGAACTTACTGTTAACCTATTAACAGTTTTTATCAGTCTCCGCGTTTTTACAAAATTTTACAGTTAAAATTACACTTATTTTTTACAGTGTATTGTATATTTTGTCGTGCTTAGGCCTGCATTTAGTCAAAAACATGCTTTTGAGTGACTTTCTACAACTTTCATTGAATAAATTATGTTCAAAAGTAATTAGGCCTGTGCTAGATTGAGTTTAAGGCTAGGGACTAATATAAACAGAGCATGTGCGTAACTGTTTATGTCCATCAAATCACAATCAGGTAGAAACACAGAAGAATAGTCCATCTTTTTGGATCAAATTATTGGATCTGTCATAACCAATTCAGCTCAGTGTATTAAATCTACCTATTAGAGCCCTCTGCTGGTAATACTTAACAATGCAGAAACTCAACATAACGTGCCAATCAGGGTTGCCAGGGTTTCACAACAAAACCCGCCCAATTGCTACTCAAAACTAGCCCAATCGCGTTTCAAGGGGGGTTCCCCGGTAAAAATCGCGTTCCGGGGGGTAAAATACACTTTTTCCGGCGGGGTTCGTCCTGTAAAATTCGCATTCCAGGGGCTGAATGTCATGTTATTGGGGTAATAATTACATATTATTACAAGTAAAAATAATTGTTTTCTATTTAATACATCTTAAAATGTAATTGATTGCTGTGATCAAAGCTGAATTTTCAGCATAATTACTCCAGTCTTCAGTGTCACATGATCCTTTAGAAATCATTCTAATATGCTGATTTGCTGCTTATGCTTACTTGCTTACTTACTTTATTTATTTATCCAGTAGTTGTGCTGCATATTATAATTGTGTAAACTGTGATACACTACTAAGTGCAAGCATATGAATCAGTAAGATTTCAAATGAATTCTGTTATTTTGAACTTTCTATTCATTGACGAATCCTGAAAAACAAACTGTATCATGGTTCCCACAAAAATACGAAGCAGCACAACAGTTTTCAACATTGATAAACATATTTGCAAAGTATATGCTTAGTCAGTCAGTAAGGAGTTTCTGTAAATTCTTTGCGTTTGTGCAAGTTCTCCATAAAATTGCAGCCTCCAGTCTGTATGCCTGATGTACTTGATTTGCTTTATGATCAGACAGAAGTGTTATGCAAGAGAAGGTTCAGAGATGCAGAACTGAAATAATGAGGCTGGTGCTCGTCTGCTCACTTTGAACGCTCCACATACATGCTACCTATAAACAACTGTGAAAAAAAAAATCCCACAGACTTACACTGAAGGATGGACCCCAACCATTTAGAATAGCTTAGAAATATCAATTCAGTAGCTTAGAAAACACAACGCAATACCTGTTTTCTCACCGTTTCCCTCACAGATTCTCAGTAAAGTGTTGGATTAATACATATCTTTGTCTTTATGCTTTCCCAACACTTAAATGTGCTCATGAATAATGAATCTTGACATAGGAGGAAGATATTTGCTGTCTTTTGTTCCATAAGAATAAACAAGAAGGATTACACACCGCAGAAGCGTGATGTGGCGCTATAAATAGAACCGTGGCTTCTGCTTCAGGCTGTGATTGTATTTGCACAGGTCAGGCCTGCTATCATCTGCAGAAGGAAGGTTGAAAATCGGAGACTTCCTGTGTTTCAAAGCAAATAAATAAAAAAAATGCCAGACATAAGAAAGGTTGTGACCCGAGCGGTGATTGACACGTCATTGTTCTGCGATGTTCTGTGAGTCCAGGAAAGGAATCGATGGAGCTCTTCGTGAGTTAATGTAGAAAAGCCCACACATGCATTACTAGCATGGCATTCAGCCAGAGCCTATGGAATGTCCCCATAAAACATGGAAACACAACATGTGTGTGTGTGTGTGTGCAGCCCCTGCATTATGATCCACTGATGCCATCCACATACTTATGACAGCCAGTGATTCATATATTTTGTAATGGAACATAATGGACATGAGTGTCTTGTTAATATCTCTCAGATCATTAAAACTGTATTAAGTCCTTGTCTGTTTTAAAGAGGACATCATGGGGTTCTCTGAGATGCCAAATGTTTTGAGATACTGTATGGTGAATAGAACTGAGTAGAACCTTTACTGATGTCTGTGGGTGGGGAAATTGGTTAAAAATTTGTTAAGATTAGAGCTGTAAGACAGTTATTGTATTGTAGAGTCAGTATTTTGGTTTCGGTCATTTCAAAAGTATAAAGACTCATCAGGATCAAAGATTTACTTGTTTTTTTTTTTTTGTCGAATATCTGGGTGATCGGGCTCCAAGAGCCAATAATAGACAAACAACACAAACAAGCTCAAGTGTTTTATACAGAGAGAAGAAACTAAGATACTCTGTGAATCTGATACTAATATTTATTATAGTATGAGTTATATGATCATTATATTATGGGTTAAGTCTGGAATAAGAGGAATTCAAGTTTGGTTTGGTTTTGTGGAAGTAATAATGTAATATAATATAATATAAAAACGGATTTTAAAGAGTATTTACAAAAAAAGTAATACAAAAAATAAAAAGTAATTTATGCTCACCAAGGCTGCATTAATTTGATAAAAACAACAATAAATAAAAAACAATAATATTGTGAAAACAATAATATTGTGAAATATTATTACAATTTAAAACAATGTTTTCTATCTGAATATATTTTAAATATGTAATCCTCTGGTGCAAAGCTTCAGTGTCACATGATCCTTCAGAAATCATTCTAATATGCTGATTTACTGCTCAAGAAACTTTTCTGATTTATATCACTGTTCAAAACAGTTGTGCTGCTTCACATTTTTGCGGAACCCATGATATTTTTCAGGATTCATTGATGAAGAGAAAGTTCAGGAACAGCATTTATTTAAAATAGAAATATTTTGTAACAAAAATACAGTCACTTTACAGTACTTTTGATCAATTTAATGCATTCTTGCTGAATAGAATTTTTTTCACAGAAATTCTAACTGACCCCAAACTTTTGAGCGGTAGTGTACATAATTATGTAAATTCATTTTATTTTACATAATTAAAACTCTGTAATTATGTAAACCTACAATCTAAAGACCTTTGTTTGTTCGCTGATTTCCCAGTGAGATATTATGAGCGCTGAATCTTCGCTCTGCTGCTCTCGCCTGCGCGCTTCCCTCATTCCCCCTACAGAGGTCGATGCGCTCGGCTCTCGGCTCTGCCTGGAGTTCTCAGTGCGGCGACAGCGGTGCCGAATATGGCGACAGACGGGATGATTTTAACAAACCACGACCACCAAATCCGGGTCGGCGTCTTGACAGGTAAAGGCCAGAATCCTTCAAGTCATCCTGGGTTTTATTTTGGGGGGAAGTGGCTGCGTATTTCCAGCTGTTTGCCAGCGGTGCCTCTCCTCCCCAAGTGTGTGTGTGTGTGTGTGTGTGTGCGTGCATGTGTGCGTTTGTGTGTGTTTCTCTGCTGGTCAGCGGTGATTTAAAGCCTTTTCCCTCTTTGCCAGTGATTAATTTACCTGCCAAACCTCTTGCACGAAAAAAAACAGCCCAGCTTCTGGTTTATGTGTATCTGTTATATTATAATGAAATTTCACAGGAGGATATAGCTTTATCTGCGGAATTATTAATTTTCGTGTGTTGCACCTTTAAAAATAGCTCAACGTTCACGCTACAGCGTTCCATGAGCACATTTAATTCAGTGAATGTTGTATTATTTGTGAAGTACCCGGCCATTTAGTCATCGGTGATAGAGATGTGATTTACTGTCAGAGACAGTGGATGCAGTGGGCTGATATTAGTGAGGATGGTTGTGAATCGTGGGCAGAATGCTGGTTTCTTCTCTGCATGACAGTCTTGTTAATGCAAACATGCCTTCGCCGGTAATTTCCATTCGTGCTTCATGTTTTTTCAGTGATGCTGGTTTATAACAAATGAAATGTTCGAGCAAAGACTGTATAACATGCGATTTAATTTCCTTCCTCTGTCAAAAGTGGAATAAAATCAAATGCAGACCCGAATTACTGAACGATGGTGTTTTGTGTTTGAAATCTTCTAAATTGGCAGGATAATACAGCTTTAGTCAGAGGGAAAAAACCCGAAGGCCACGGATTTTCATGTGATGTGATTGGTGATAACCCTCTCATGGAGATCCGCTGGTGAAGGTGGTAATGTGCAAAGATGGAGAGAGAGAGAGGAGCTCCATCCAACTCTGAGGGAAACCCCGCTTTACCTCCCCCCTCCTCACTGCTGTAGAGCGGGGAAACCAGGAGCAGTGGCGGCGCTGTCCATGGTGCTGAATTACAGCGGCCGCTCGATGAGCGCTGTCCGCGGTGCTGAATTGCTGCGGCCGCTCCGTGAGCGCTGTCCTCGATTGCATCTAGCGCTATGTATTGTGCTGAAATATAAGCGACAATCGCTTCTCACTGGGCGATAAGTTCCGCTCCGTCATTTATCAAATGGTTTTTGTTAGGGCAGGAGACATTGAAGGGAGACACATTCCCCCAGTATTTAGATCAACTATATAGGTTTGAGTCATATATTATTGGATTTGGCCCCAAATTTGATTACAGACTTGCTTTTATCAGTACATTTATAACAGGGGATGTCCCATGGGAGTAACCTGAGGATATGTATTCTGCTCAGTTGCACAATGCATCAAACCTTGTTGGGCTTGAACCTACAACCTATTGGTTAACCAAGCAACCTATTTTTTATTTAAAATATTAAACTTTTTTTTTAACTAGAGGAAATGTACAGGGTAGTAAGGGCTACTGGGGTGTTTGTCTTGCATGTTATGCTCTGTCATTTATTAGACTCTTTTATTCAGCAAAACCAGGCATTGAACAGGACATTACCCAAAGTTTCCAGATTAGTGGCTTTTTTTCAGTAGCAGATTACATTCATACATTCATTTGTGTTTTATATGAAGTAACTATTAGCCTGGACAGTTCCCAATAAGTAAACGGAGGATACATTCTCAATAGCAGAATAGATTATACGTTGGTGGGTTTGAACAAACAACCATTTGGTATATAATATTTGATTTTTCTAGGGAAACAGGGCTGCTATTGTATTGACCTGCATTGTCCAGAACTATCTCATTTATCAGATACTTTTATCAGTACATTTATTACAGGTTCGATCACTGTGGTGTAACGTGAGGTTAAGAGTCTTGCACAAGAGCATAATGGTGATAGTTCATAGATCACTTCTTTTGGGGCTTGGACATACAGCCTTTTGGTTACCAAGCCTGATGACCAACTATTGGTTTGGAGGGCAAACAGTTATACTGGGGTGTTGCCCTGCATTGTTATGTAGTGCTTAGCCATTTATCAGGTGCTTCTATCAGTGCACTTTACTGGGACAGTCCCCCTGGAGTAACCTCAGGTTAAAGTATCCTGCTCAGTGGCACAGTGGTGATAGTTCATGACTTGCTCCTTTAACCACTAGGCTACAGCACCGCTGGTGTATTGGCCTGCATTGTTTTGTCATATGCTTTAATGTGATTACCGCGTCGGCATCGATATCCAACACCTTACAAACCTCTAGTGTATTTCACCACACATTGTCAGTAAAGCAAATACAAGCCAGCAGACATGTACATGAACATGCAGTTGTCACGTTCGTCATGCATCAGATTACTTTTGCAACCCCCTCTATTCAGGGATGACATTTGAACAGGAAGATCGCCAATATTTGTCTTGGTAACCATTTCCAAGTTCTAATAGTGACCCTCTCTCTCTTTCTCTGTATCACCGAAGGCCTGTGTGTTGAGGGAAATGAAGACAGGAAGGTAAAAAGAAAGAGGAAAGAGATATCACAGTCTGTGTGTCATCTGACCTTTTAGAAAGCTCTCTCTCCTTGCTGTTGCTCTTCCCTGTGTGCAGCTGTGGGATTTCACGTTGTTGAAAAGTGATTTCCTTCTGTATCTCTATCTTGCCAGTCACCTCTGAGACTCTCACTTACGGGCCATTGAAGTATCTTTATTATCAACAATGTAAAGATAAATGTGTTCAGTGATCAGAGCTGATAGTGTTGACCTTTGACATCAGTCCGTGTTGTTACTTCTATCTTGTGTGCCTGTGCTTGACTAATCATCCAATGACGGAGGGCCCCGTCCACATCTGCTCCATCTTCCCCAATGACAGTAGGGTCATGTGACCAGACCTGTCCCCATGTCTGGGGTTGAGAGGAGCTTTGGTTGGCATAGCAACACTGTGGAGGTTTTAGGAACACAACAAGCATACAGCGACACCAAGATGTAGGGTGGGGTCATAGTGTTACACCTGGAAAAAAAATACAGAGCTGTTGTTGGAGCCATTGAGCTTTCATTCACTTGGATTGCCTATATTTTTTGAGGGCATTGAGAAAGAATTTCACTCATGTGAATGAGTGTCTGTTGAGCATTTTTAAGAACTAGCCATTGGTATTGGTGCATATTATTAAATTCCTTTTATCCAGTGTTATTTAAGTATTGTTTATATATTATTATTATATAGTATTTATTAATCTTTTGAATTAGCTTCTAGTTTTGTATTTTCAGTCTTCATTTCAATGTAGGTTTTAGTGATTTTGTTACTTGATTTGGCTTTTCTTTTTTTTTTTTTTATTCATTTGTATATACTGTATATTTGAATATTAACTTTATTTTTATTTCAGTTTTAGTAATTTTAGAACTTAATTCAGATTAATTCAATTCAGCAATTAGTTGCCAATTAAGGCAATATTTAAGTTTTTTGTGTAATATTTATATTTTATTTCAGCTTTATTTTAATTAACAAAACTTTAATTTAAAACTTTTAATAAAATTAAAAACAATTTTTTTCTTTTTTAAGTTTCAGTTAAAGGGGTGGTTGATTGCGATTTCACTTCTTTAACGTTAGTTAGTGTGTAATGTTGCTGTTTGAGCATAAACAATATCTGCAAAGTTACGAAGCTGAAAGTTCAATGCAAACGGAGATATCGGCGGTTTAATGCCTACAAAAACAGCTGGTAGGGACTACAACAAGTTACTTCCCGGGTTCGTGACATCACAAACCCAGATAAACCCCTCCCTCGGGAAAAGGCAGCAAAGGGGGCGAGGCCATGCTGTGCTGCTTTAGAGAAGAGGAAGAGAAAACTAGGTGCACATAAAAATCTATTCATATATGAATCGCGATTCTGTCTTCTAACGATTCTAATGGATTCACAAGTTTCAAAATCAATGTTCTAAAGCAGTAGTTCTTAATACTGTTCCTCGCGTCGCCTGCTCGGCATCTCTCTCTCATTCAGATCATCAGCTCAGCTCTGTTCCATTTATACACTTTATTTTCACATAGCTATGAGAAGCGTTAAACATGGACACGCGTGCAGTTGCCGTACTGTATTAAAGCTTTAATCAGGATAAAACCGTATATTAAAAGCTAACATAAGCAGTACAAATAACAGCGTATCTAAAAGTATGAGACAACAACAAACAAAAAACATAGGCCTACCATTAAAAGCCGTGCTTGCACAGGTTCTGCACGATCCTCTTGAATAATATCCTCTGCTTCTCAATCGGGCTCAAACTGATAAGCAATATTATCAGTTTGAGGTGAAGGGCGGGACGTTTAGTCGCAACACACTGGGCTAGCTAACCAATCAGAGCCCATCCCCTATTTCTGAGAGCGGGGCTTCATAAAAACAGGAAAAGATCAGCCCGTTTCTCAGAGAAGGGACAGAGCTGTGTGGAATAAAGGTAAACTGTGTTGAAAAATAATGTTTTTTTTTTTTTTTAAACGAAGCATTAACACATGTTAGACTGCACCCCATAAACACAATCAAGCCTAGAAAAAAAACAGTGAACCACCCCTTTAGCAACACTGGTTCCATGTAGGGTTTGATTTGTTGAAATCATGTAACACATGAAAAACTAATCTACTGGAGCCAAACGGAAATGAGCATGTCATTGGTTAAGAGATTTGTCATGCTGCAATTAAAGATCACATGATTAACAGATCCAACCGAAAGGGTTCCAGTTTTTTCTTATGTGTAGTTTAGATTCATGTTTCAGTAGCTGTTGGGTTTTGAAATATTTTGTTCCTCCCCCTTTCAGCACTGTCTCCAAATGGCTTCTTTTTTAGCATCCTCACCTTGGTGAGTACTGACCTAAAAATAAACCTGATCTGACCTTGAGAAGGACCGCCATCTTCCTGTCACTTCTACAAAACATGAGTTACTATTAAGGGGACCAAGGAAAGTAGTTCAGCTCAGAAAACCTTTTAACTGATCAGTGGTTCACACTGGTTTTGTATATAAATGCTCATTGCAGAGTTTTTTTGTTCTGATGG